GCCTGCCCCTACCTGCGTTCCCTGCGTCGAGGGGCGGCAGCGCGCTGCTCCTCACTCCTCCGAGTTTCCTCCAACAGAGGCTCCGCTGCAGACGCTTCACATGGACATGTGGGGCCCAGCCCGCGTCCGTGGACAGGGTCACGAGCGTTACTTCCTGCTGGTGGTTGACGACTACTCGCGTTACACCACAGTCTTCCCCTTGCGCAGCAAGGGTGAGGTCACTGAGGTGTTGATCTACTGGATCCGCGCAGCTCGTCTCCAGCTCAGAGAGAGTTTCGGCTCGGACTTTCCTATTCTGCGTCTACACTCCGACAGAGGCGGAGAGTTCTCCTCTGACCTTCTGCGAGCCTTCTGTCGTGCACGAGGCATCCGCCAGACATTCACGCTTCCGGCCTCTCCACAGCAAAATGGGATTGCTGAGCACCGCATTGGCATGGTCATGGACGTCGCTCGTACGTCCATGATCCATGCGGCTGCCCCCCATTTTCTGTGGCCGTTCGCGGTTCGGTACGCGGCGCATCAGATCAACCTTCAGCCCGGGGTCTCCATGCCGGAGACCTCCCCTGCTTTGCGGTGGACGGGGAAGGTTGGCGATGCGTCTACGTTCCGTGTCTGGAGATCTCGGGCTTTTGTCCGCTACTTGTCTGCGGACAAGCTGTCCCCCTGTGCTGTTCCCTGCGTCTTCCTTGGCTTCCCCCCTGACGCGCCTGGTTGGTAGTTTTACCACCCCACCTCGCGCCGTGTTCTGCCCTCCCAGGACGTCACGTTTGACGAGTCGGTTCCTTACTACCGTCTCTTCCCCTACCGCACTGCACCCCTCCCCCCGCCGCCGCTCTTCCTCGCGCCAGGTCCCCCCCCGGTAGACCCCCTTCCCCCTCAAGGTCCTGCCCCCTCAGGTGTGTCCCAGGTAGACGCAGTCAAGCCTGTCGAGGTAGCTGTTGACTCTGGTGCTGCTAGGGGTGCTGAGCCTGCGGGTGCGGGGTCTGGGGGTGCTGAGCCTGGGGGTGCTGACTCTGGGGGTGCTGAGCCTGGGGGTGCTGAGCCTGGGGGTGCTGAGACTGGGGGTGCTGAGCCTGGGGGTGCTGAGACTTGGGGTGCGGAGCCTGAGGGTGCTGGGCCTGCTCGTGTGGAGTCTGGCGGTACTGGGCCTGGAGGTCCTTCGGGTGCTTCGTCCCGGCGGGAGCTACTCTCTCCACAGGAGCTGTGCGAGTGGTTTGCTCGGCGCTGGAGCCGTGCTGCTGAAGCTGGAGGTGCTGCTGGAGTTGGAGGTTCTACTGCTGCTGAGGGTGCTGGTGCCACGGGTGCCGGAGGTGCTCGTCCTGGAGGTACTGGAGCTGCTGGGCCTGGGGGTGCTCCTTGTGCTGGAGCTGGCGGGGCTGCTGGAGTAGGTGCTACTGGAGGTACTGGAGCTGGAGCTGCTGTGTCTTCTGGTGGTCCGACTGGAGCTGGAGCTGCTGGGGGTGTTGGCACTGGAGGTACTGCTGGAGCTGGTGCTTTTGAGGGTGCTGGTGTTGGCGCTGCTGGAGCTGGGGGTGCTACTGGCGCTGGTGCTGCCGCTGGGGGTGCTGGTGCTGTTCCTGCTGGTTCTGGGGGCGCTGCACGACCGCGGCCGTACTTCGTTCCGCTCCTTCAGCAGGTTCTTGGCCTTCCGTCCTCTCTTGGTTCGGCTCCTCTCTTAGAGTGTCCGCCGCCTGTCCAGTCCGAGTCACAGTTACAGCAAGCCTCCCCACTGCCGGCTCCTTCTCCCTACACTGGTCCTACTGGAGGTCTTGCTGAGCGTCGTGAGCCTTCGTCTCGTCTTGCATCGCCTGTCCGTGCTGTTCGCACTAGTGGTCGTGGTTCGTGTCAGCGTCCTCCCCCTGTCCCCGGCACGCACCGGATGACTCTGCGTCCTTCCACTGCTCCGCAGCGTGCCCCTTTGCCTTCTCCTCCCGAGTCCTCTCTTCCTGCTCTTGCTGACCCGGAGTCGGACTCCCTTCGTGCTGCCAGTCCTACTGTCACGCGTCTCCTTGCTACTGTTGTCACTGACCCTTCCTTTGAGTCCACTACTGCGTCTGCCTTAGTCGCTGAGCTTGTCGACTTCGCTGCTCGCTGTCGTCTAGACTACGCTGCTAGTCTTGTTGCTGAGTCTGCGTCTGTCTGTCCTCCGTCCGTCGGGGATGAGTGTGCTCTTGGCACGGACATCCTTGAGGACAGGCAAGAGGAGTTCCAGGGTTTTGCTGCTGCTTCACCTCATCTCGTGTCCATGCTGCTTGCCCCTGAGGGAGACCCGGATGCACCAGACATCCCGACTCCGCGCTCTTACGCAGAGGCGATAGAGGGTCCCTATTCCTCTCAGTGGCTGGCAGCCATGGACGCAGAGATGGCTTCCTGGAAGTCCACAGGCACCTACGTCGACGAGGTTCCCCCACCTGGGGCGAACATCGTCAGTGGCATGTGGATTTTCAGGGTGAAGCGGCCGCCGGGTTCTCCGCCTGTCTTCAAGGCGCGTTACATGGCTCGAGGCTTCAGTCAGCGGCAGGGAGTTGACTACTTTCAGACCTTCTCTCCCACCCCAAAGATGACCACTCTTCGGGTGCTGCTGCACATAGCCGCTCAGCGCGACTACGAGCTTCACTCTCTTGACTTCAGCACTGCTTTCCTACAGGGCAGCCTGCACGAGGAGATCTGGCTGCGCCGCCCACCTGGCTTCACTGGGTCGTTTCCTCCTGGTACCCAGTGGAGCCTCCGGCGGCCAGTCTACGGTCTCCGCCAGGCGCCTCGTGAGTGGCACGACACACTGAGGACTACACTTGCGGCTCTTGGGTTTGCTCCTTCTACTGCCGACCCGTCGCTGTTTCTGCGCACCGACACCTCTTTGCCGCCGTTCTACATCCTCGTGTACGTCGACGACTTGGTCTTTGCCACAGCTGACACTGCTGACGTGAAGTCCGAGCTGCAGAAGAGACACACGTGCATAGACCTGGGTGAACTGCGCAGCTACCTTGGCTTGCAGATTACCCGGGACAGAGCACAGCGCACCATTACCCTGACTCAGTCACACATGGTGCAGCAGGTCCTTCAGCGCTTCGGCTTCACGTACTCCTCGCCTCAGGCCACTCCTCTGTCTACTCGCCACTCGCTCTCAGCTCTGCCTTCGGATGAGTCCGTAGAGTCGAGTGGCCCGTACCCAGAGCTTGTTGGCTGCCTCATGTACCTGATGACCTGCACTCGACCTGACCTTGCATACCCTCTTAGCATCTTGGCACGCTATGTTGCTCCTGGGAGACACAGACCTGAGCACATGGCTGCAGCGAAGAGGGTGTTGCGCTACTTGTGCAGTACGTCGGGCATGGGGCTCGTGCTTGGAGGGCGGAATCCAGTGGTCCTCACTTGTCACGATGACGCGTCTTGGGTTGACGACCAGGCTACTCAGCGGTCGTCACAGGGTTATACCTTCAGCCTTGGTTCCGGTTCTGTTTCGTGGCGGTCTACCCGCTCGTCTTCTGTTCTCAGCTCCAGCTGTGAGGCTGAGATCTACGCAGGGGCCATGGCTGCACAGGAGTTACGCTGGCTCACCTACCTGCTGACTGACCTCGGAGAGCCGCCTCGTTCTCCTCCAGTTCTGTACGTAGACAACAAGGCCATGCTGGCCTTGTGTCGGGAGCACAGACTGGAGCACAGAACGAAGCACATTGCTCTTCGCTACCTCTTTGCTCGTGAGCTGCAGCAGCGTGGTCAGCTACGGCTTGCTTACGTGGCCTCTCAGGCCAACACTGCTGATATCTTCTCCAAAGCACTCCCGCCTTGTGATCATCAGCGCTTCTGTACTCTGTTAGGTCTTGTGCCTACTTGGCCTTACTTGCTCACTTCTTGACCTTACTTGTACTGTGACCTATATATACCTGCACTTGCATGTTTAGCTTTATATATATATAATCTTGCATGTGAACTGACCTTGTGGCCTTTGAACTTGTGGTCGGAATGTGTGGTGACGTTGTGATCCACCCTCAGCTTGCTGTGCTTTGCTTGACTGGTCTTGTGACCCCTTGTTCTCCCCCACTTTGCCTATGGGGGTGTGTCAAACTTATAAGCTATAGTCTATATAGGCTGTAGTGGGGTAGACACTAAGGGGTATGGTTTCCTAGGGTTTCATATTTGTACCCTTCACATTCTTTAGTCAATCATTCCTCATTTCTCACAGAGGTTTCCTGATATGAGGCCTGCAGGAACACGCCCTTAAAGGGGGGGGGGTAGTGTACGAAATTTCCCTAATTCCTTACTGAGGCATTCCGTACGCGTACAATTTCAACTTTTCGGGGTTCAGGGCCACGGCATATGTCGCCTTCCGAACGTCCTTCGCGTCGCCTTCGGGTTCTCCAACCCCAAACCTGCACCAAACCATCGCGCGACTCCGCGACCTCGGCCTAGCTAGCTTTGCTATATTATGTCTAGGCCTCGTTGTTTGCTCAGTAGTTGTATTCACTTCCGAAGAGAATATCTCAGCGCGTTCTGGTCGTCGCCCGGCGGAGCTCTCTGCCCGCGGGCAAAAAAAATAAACCCCATTCGGGCATGCACCCGGTCAGGGAGGCATAAACTCTAAACACGGGGAGGCATGGATTTAGGGTTGATGCCTCCTTCGGATGGCATGCCATCCGATAGGGTTTTATTTTTTTTCTGCCCGGGGCAGCAGGTCGTCAGATTGTCACAGGTCGTCGGGCCCGACGACCCGTTTGCGCTGAGATATACCGCAATATTGCATTCTGCGCACTCTTCATTCGTACAACTCATAAAAGTCAAGGTACACAAAGGAAATCTGAATTTAGACTTGAATTAGCGTAAGAGGGCTGAAATCTAGGGCCTTCGCAACATCCTCGCTAAGGGAAGTCAAGTGTAATGAATTGTACATTCTTCACACGCGCTCATTTACAACTACAGGCTAAACATCTTCTGGTGAACCATTTCTTGCTCTAAGTTCGCCGTGGCCCTTCCGCTGCCCTACTTCCCGCCACCCCCGCAGTATGCCGTTGCCAGTTCCTCCGCCGCCATGCGCGGGCGACACGCTGTGCGAGGCGGCGGTGAAGGTGCTGCGCACGGCGGACCCCTGGAAGAAGGCGGAGTACGGCGACCTCGCGGCGCATCTCTGGGCCACCGGCGCCATTCGCCACGCTTACGCAGATCGCGCCACGCGTGGGGACGGGAGCCTTAGCAGCGGGAGCGAGGAAGCCCGAAGCGCCGGGTCACAGGGAGATGCAGATGTGGGAGCAGCGGGTAGCGAGGAGGAGCAATGGCTTAGCGTGCCGGACCGCCCTGCTAGAGACGATACCGTGAGCACCGCGCACCCCCTCTGGTGCTCTCCTCCTCGCGTTGCCCCCTCGCGTGTTTACCCACCGCTAGTGCCCTCCTGGCCCATCTGCTGCTTTTTCAACCCTAAGCCCAAAACCTGCTACTGTCCCCAGTTCTCTAACCCGGCGTCGCGCCGTGTGCGTTCGGTTCCCTGGCGGCAGGTGCGCGTGGTGGCGGCGCGCGACATGCCACGGCGCGGCAAGGGCGGGTCGCAGCAGAGCCGCGTGGCGCTGCTGCACAGCCTGGTGCACATCGAGAGCTGGGCCGTCGACCTCGCTTGGGTGCGCGCTCGCCCGCTCGCTGTGGGGGGTGGGAGTGGGGTGAAAGAGGGGGGGAGGAAAGGGGAGGGGGTTCGCTAGTGGGAGGGAAAGGTGGAAGGGGAGCAGCTTGAGTGAGAGGGTCCGACGACATGGCAGTTGGTGTTTGCCTGCCAGCCCTGCCTCGTGTCCACGCGCCATCAACCCTTACGTGCACCCACTCCCTTTCCATCCCTTCCCCTCTTCCGCTCTCTTCCCCGCTCTCCCTCCTTCTCGCCCCACCTCGTTCACGCCCCACGCACCCCCCACGCACCCCGCGCACGCCCTCTCGCCCCGCGCACCCCCCACGCGCCCGTGCGTCCGCGTGCAGGACATCATAGCACGGTTCGGCAGCGCGCACAGCATGCCGCGCGCGTTCTTCTCGGACTTCGTGCGCGTGGCGGAGGACGAGGCACGCCACTTCCGCCTGCTCGCGGCTCGCCTGCAGGCGGTGGGGTCGCGGTACGGCGCGCTGCCCGCGCACGACGGGTTGTGGGAGTCCGCCGCCGCCACCGCGGGTGACCTCAAGGCGCGCCTCGCCATCGAGCACTGCGTGCACGAGGTGGGGGGAATGAATGGGGAAGCACGTGGGGGCAGGGGGGGACAGGGGGGGGCAGTGGGGGGAAAGTGGGGGCAGGGGGTTGCAGGGGGGGGGGCGGTGTGGCCATGGATAGGGGGTGGTGAGGTGCGGGTGCGTGGGAAGATGGAGTGGGGTTGGGGGTTGTCGGAGCAAGGGGGAAGAGAGGTGTTCTGGCATGCGTGTCCCCAGCATTCCCTATTAGCCTCCTTTGATAGTAACCCACCTTGGCCGCACAATGGTAGCGGGCGCCTGGAATGAGCGATGTATGCTGCTAGTGCATCTCTCGTTGAAGATACCCCCATTCATGTGTCCTATGTTATCCTCGCCTCCCACCATCCCTCAGTCCCCCTCTCGCATCCTCCACCACCCACACGGGCTGTGCATCAGTCAATCCACGCACCCTCTTACCTCCTTCCCCTACCCGCAACGTACTCCCCTGCCCACCACCCACCCTCCCACCCGCCCACCCCCTCGCCGCTCATCATGCCTGGCAGGCGAGGGGCCTGGACGTGGTGCCGCAGACGATAGAGCGGTTCAGGGCGGGGGGGGACAGCGAGACAGCGCAGCTGCTGGAGCAGGTGGTGTACCCCGAGGAGGTCACTCACTGCGCTGCTGGCCAGCGCTGGTTCTCCTTCCTCTGCCTCCGCGACCTGCGCACGCGCCAGGGGGAGGCGGGGGGAGGAGAAGGTAGGGAGGAAGCAGCAGGTGGGGGCGTAGGTGCAGGGGGGGGTTTACAGGCGGAGGCATTGGGGGGTGAGGCGGCAACAGGCACTGGAGCAGTGGATGGTGGTGGGAATGGGAATGGGGAGGGGTGCGGTGAGAAGGGCAAGGTAAGGGCTGAAAGAGAAGACGCGGCAGGGAGTGAGGGTGTAGGTGGTGCGGCAGAGCAGGGTATGGAGGGAGAGGAGGCGAGTGCAGAGGAGCATGCAGCGATCGTGGCGGAGTTCCATGGCATTGTGCGGCAGCACTTCCGTGGCAAGCTCAAGCCGCCCTTCAACCACGAGGCACGCGCAAAAGCCGGGCTCACTCGCGACTGGTATGAGCCGCTTGCGGAGTGAGCAAGGCAAGCACGCTGTGTGCAAGCAGTGGAGTGACATTGAGCTCAACACTCGCATTCCATATTCAGTGGTAAATAATGCGAAAGTTGGTCCTTAATGCGTTGAATTGAGTGAAGAGTGAAAGATTCGCAAAACAGCTAACGTCCCTTGGGTAGGTCACTCGAACCTGAAGGTCACAAAGCTCAAGGTTGTAATTTCCTACCTTGTCCTTATTTTTAGTGTGTGTATTCCTATTCAGATATATCTATCCTACATGTAAGAATGAAACACGAGTCACTGTATGACAAAATTCGAGGTTGGTTTATTGGCATTCAAGCGTCACGAGCACGACTCCCGCCTTTCCCGCCATTTCCACGGTTTCTCAAATCAGCACTTCATCCATCGAGCTTGGCAGAGCAGAAATCTGACACTTTTCAAGGAGCCGCAGAGCATCGGGATTGCGAGAGTGCTGGAATGCAGTTCCCGAGGAGCTTAGGAACCGCCCGCAGAGGCTGCCTCATCTCCTCCCTGCCCCGGAGTGCGAGGCAGCGCTGGCACTCTCTAGGTCGCCCACCAGGAATCATGTCACACCCATTGTGGTACCAGCTTAGCAGCCCAGAGCCTACCAGGCATATCCGTCACTCATTCCAACCAGCGTCGATCAAGTTTCCCGTGCATAGGATCGGCAGCCCGGGTAGCCTCTCGTCGCGATTCCCGTCTCCAGAGCATCTAGTCTGCATTCCCGTCACGGTAACGCCATGGGGAGCGACGACGAAGCGGGGCCCGCGGTTCCCACCCGCACGGCTGCTCCCTTGAAGCGCAAACCCTTCAAGCCATTGCACCTACTCAACCCCGCTGGCCCCGCGCTGCCGCGACAGCCGCCGCTGCACCCGGCTCCTGGCTCCACCGCGAATCCCCGCGCGCGATTCAATGCACCCGCGCCGGCAGCCGCAGTGACGTGCAACGCGAAACGCGCGCCGGGCGCGGCGGCGGCGGAGGCGGCGGCGGACGAGACGCGGTACTACAGCGTGATGTACTGCCCGCGCAAGCCGCACGCGAAGCGCAAGGGGCCGTGGTCGGACGGGCTGCTGAGCGTGAAGGGGCGCGCGTGCGCCGTGCAGAACATGGACGCCAAGAGCGTCGCCAAGGCTTCCGTCAGCGGCTGCGCGCACCTGAAAGAGGGCTCCACGCTCGAGGTACCCGCGCACGCCGCACGCATGCATGCACCCACCCGCTCCTGGTGCCGATCTGCTGTCTAGCGGGGCGCGTGGTGGCAAGGGAGTAGGGGATGTCTGCAGGAATGTTGGTGGGCTGCTTAAGAGGGGGTGGTTTGTAAGTTGGGGTTGTCAACTTCTCTGGCCTCGTGTGCCGTTAGTGCCATGCGAGTCGCATGGCACCCTAGCGGTTCTCTCACTCTATTGAGTAACAGCCCCGCCGGTTCACGGTGCAGGTGCCTTGAGCACTGTCGTTCTACACGGTATCGCGCACCGTCGCCAAGGATCTCATACCCTGTTTGTCCCCATACACGCCATGCCTCCTCCACTTGTATCTCCTCTCCTCTCCCCACTTGATTCATACTCTTCGCGTCTGTGCCATTCTTGTCGTCTCTTTCTCTTTCTCTCCTCCGTCCACTCCCCCCCCCTCGTTCGTCCTGGCCCCTCATCAGGTGGGCAAGTGGGAGGTGGAGGTGATGCACGAGGTGCCGCGCGAGCAGTACCTCGCCGGCTCCTTCTTCATCCCCGCCGCCGCCGCAGCTGCTGCTGCCGCTGCTGTCACATCCGCCGCTGCCACGGGTCGAGCGGGCAGTGCTGCTGCGGGCAAGGGCAGGAAGCGGGCGGGCGAGAGCAGCAGTGGCAGGGCGGCGGGCAGCAGTGCGGAAGGGGTGCTGGCGAACAAGTGAGTGCGGAGAGGCTCTTGGGGGACTAGATCCGACGAGGAATAGAATGTGGTGCACACACGGGCGCCAGCAAGGGAGGGCACGTGAGACGTGTGATTCTTTGATGCTCGCTTTTACGATGTCAGGGTTTGCAGCACACGCGTTTGCCAGGCGTCAGATATTCTCCACCACCCGTCCGTCCTTCCACTTTCACCCCTGCACGCGCGTGCAAGTCCATGGGCTGCTGCAGCGGCCAGGGCGTTGAAACTTGTGTGCGCTCTGCTCTTTCTCCCTGCCCTCGTGCCGCCTCCACAGGAGAGCTGCGAGCATGGAGAGTCGTATGAGACTTGGCAACGAGGTATGGCCGTGGAGTGGGGTGAAAGGCATGGCGGGACAGAACGGATTACCGTGTGGCGATGGTTCATGATGTTGCAGTGACGTATGACGTGGCATAGGGACCCATGAATTACAACGAAACGTAGCTCTCATCCTCGCAATGCATTCTCGCATACCTTATCCGTGCGGAGCTGCCTCAAGTGCAGCTGTCCTGCATGTTCTCGTGTCTTGTGTTGTGGCTGCAGGACGCCGTGTGTCTCAACCCCAACCAGCACGGCAAGGGAATCTCGAAGATCTACCTTGACCCGGTGAGCCCATCTCCGCCCTGTTGGCTCGTGCTGCTCATGGGTCATTCAGCGTTCATGTTCATGGCCGTTCACTTTGCTGTGCTGCGATGCACTGCGCCATGCGTAGAGGTTCAGAAACGACTGCATTCAGCTGTTCTCCTGTTACACATGTCACGTTCTCGTTCTCATTTAGCAAAAGCCCTTCAGTTCTACCTCTCCCCGCTATTTGTCCCTCCTGATACGACACTTCCACAGCGACCCACCCAGCATATTTCATGTGTTTCTTGTGTGGACTGTACTCAGGTGCACCTCTCCCTTCACACCCCCACCCCTTCCCCTCTCTTCCTCCTCCGTGGCAGTACATTGGAGCCAGGATGCGCCCCCACCAGGTGGAGGGAGTGCACTTCATGCTCGAGGCTGTGCTCGAGGTGCGCACGCCCGGCTGCTCCGGATGCGTGCTGGCAGATGAGATGGGTGAGCTGGCAGATGAAATGGGTGAGCTGGCAGATGAAATGGGTGAGCTGGCAGATGAGATGGGCGAGCTGGCAGATGAGATGGGCGAGCTGGCAGATGAAATGGGCGAGCTGGCAGATGAGATGGGTGAGCTGGCAGATGAGATGGGCGAGCTGGCAGATGAGATGGGTGAGCTGGCAGATGAAATGGGCGAGCTGGCAGATGAGATGGGTGAGCTGGCAGATGAGATGGGCGAGCTGGCTGGCAGATGAAATGGGTGAGCTGGCAGATGAGATGGGCGAGCTGGCAGATGAGATGGGTGAGCTGGCAGATGAGATGGGCGAGCTGGCAGATGAGATGGGTGAGCTGGCAGATGAGATGGGCGAGCTGGCAGATGAAATGGGTGAGCTGGCAGATGAGATGGGCGAGCTGGCAGATGACATGAGCGAGCTGGCAGATGAGATGGGTGAGCTGGCAGATGAGATGGGCGAGCTGGCAGATGAAATGGGTGAGCTGGCAGATGAGATGGGTGAGCTGGAAGATGAAATGGGTGAGCTGGCAGATGAGATGGGCGAGCTGGCAGATGAAATGGGTGAGCTGGCAGATGAGATGGGCGAGCTGGCAGATGAAATGGGTGAGCTGGCAGATGAGATGGGCGAGCTGGCAGATGAAATGGGTGAGCTGGCAGATGAAATCGGTTAGCTGGCTGATGAGATGGGTGAGCTGGCAGATGAGATGGGTGAGCTGGCAGATGAAATGGGTGAGCTGATAGATGACATGGGTGAGCTGGCAGATGAAATGGGTAAGCTGGTACCAGTTAGCTGGCTGATGAAACAATGAGCTGTGGATGAAAACAGTGAGCTGGCAGATGGAGTGGATATTAGGGGCAGGGAGTTGGGACTGCAGTAATGGATGATTGAGGGAGAAGGGGGAGAAGACCTTCGGACAGAAATCAAGTCAGCACACTGAACGGGCGGTAGGTGGCTGCGGCGCTTCATGCTTCCTCAAGCAGCAGCAGCTGCTGTGTTCGTTCCTGTTGTCGCTGACAATCAACGCCTGTGGGGTTCCCCGTGTATGACTCCAAGCGCTCTGCACCGCCCCGCGTCTCTCCCACACAGGCCTTGGCAAAACCCTTCAAGTGATAGCGCTCATCTGGACTCTTCTCAAACAGGCACGTGTGCTTCTCTCTCCTCACTGCATTGTGATTTTCTGCACCCCGCCTCTTCTACGCTCACCCTTTCTCTTCGTTGCCCCTTTTGATTGACCATTGTGATGCGAGTTATTCCCATCCCACTACTACCATGCCCGTTTTCTGGCGTCCCTTCCCCACCGTCCCCCCTGCAGGGCCCCCAGGGTCGCCCCTTCCTGCGCAAGGCAGTGGTGGTGTGCCCGTCCTCGCTCGTTGACAACTGGGGCGCCGAGGTACTGTGTGTGGGGCATGCCACATGAGATGCCTCTCCATGCTCTCTCTCATCTCATTGCCTTCCAATCTTTCATGCTCCCGCCCTCCATCACACCCTGTCTGCGTTATCCCTTTCCCCTCAACTCACGCACCACACCTTATCCCCCCTCCACCCTCTCCACTGTGTGCGCACCAGTTCCGCAAGTGGCTGGGCACGGAGCGGCTCAAGGCCATGGTCGTGAACTCCAGCTTCACGCCCACCGAGGTATGCGGGGCACATGTGCGTGCGCGCGCGCCAATGATGCGCACTCGCGAGCCTTGTGTGTTTTTGGAGCGGGGAGTGGTGAGCAAGGGTAATGGTGCAGCAACGGAAAGAGGTGGTGGGGATTGCGGGTCCAGGGATGGTAGGGTGAGAGGAGGGGACGAGTGAGCGCGTCAGATCTTGCTGGGAGCATGAGACACCATGCTTGCTGCTCGCTCGTCCACGCGCATGGCATGGCGTGTGTGGTACAGGCTGGACGAGCACCAGCAGGCACATGGAGGAGAAACAAAATCACAGCAGGGATACGGATATAAGGATGGGGTATGACGACTTGGTGTGTGTGTGTGCGTGCATCTGTGCATGCGTCTGTGGATTTGTGCATGCGTGCGTGTGTGCACGTGTGCGCGTGTGGGTGCATGTGTGCATGTGTGTGTCTTTGTGTGCGTGTGCATGCATGGCATCAGGTGAGGGGCAAGATGGCGGACTTCAAGCACGCGGGTGTGTGGCCGGTGCTCATAACCTCCTACGACCTGCTGCGCCGCCATGCACCGCTCCTCGCTGCTGCCGCCCCTCAGCTCCTCGTGTGCGACGAGGGCCACCGCCTCAAGAACTGGTCAGCGCAGGGTGGTGCACAGGGGGGAGGTGCATGGGGGGTGGTGCATGGGGGGTGGTGCACGGGGGGTGGTGCATGGGGGGAGGTGCATGATGGGGAGAGGTGCGTGCATGGGGGGTGCAGGTGTGCGGTTGTGCCATGGCACCTTCGTGGGAATGCTCATGCCACGCACACAGCCGTGCTCAGGCCAAGTGGCCGGTGCGCTGTCTTGTGAGACAAGGCTGATGGAGAACGTTGGTTCATAGGAAATGGCTGGAAGATTTTCCTTGCTGCAACCATGTAATCCCTCAATCCCTGTCTTGCCCTCCCTTCAGTGCGGGCAACAAAACCATTTCGGCCCTGCACCAGCTGGGGTGCCCGCGCAAGGTGCTGCTGGTGAGTCCAACCGCACATATGCTGCAAGTTTTGCATCAACTGTTTGCGCTTTCAACTCCCCGTTTTCTTCCATCTTCGCACGACAGCATCTCACAACGTTACGCCCCCATGCACCCCAGCACCCTTGTCTCCATATACGTCTGGCCTATCTCTCTACCTCTCCTCTCCCTTACCCCCCTCCCCCACCAGCCCTGGGCTCCGTGACATGGCATTCGTGCGGAATCACCTCAGATTCTTCTCATCTTCCCACCCACACCTGCCCTATCTCCGTGAACCTCATTCGTCCTCCTTCTGTTGCGCTCCAACCTCCCCCATTCTCTCTTCATGCACATCAGCACACTCACTCATAGCCAACACAGCGCCCTTCCACCTCTGCTACACTACACCGCACCCACCATCCTTCCCTGTCCATCTCTCCCTGCCTCTCCCACCCCCAACTTGCTCCCCTTCATGCACTCTGACTCTCCCCTGACCCCCACCAGACGGGCACGCCCATGCAGAACGATCTGAGTGAGTTCTTCGCATTGCTGGATCTGGTCAACCCGGGCTGCCTGGGCCCCCTGCCTGCCTTCCGCCGCATCTTCGCCGACCCCATCCAGAAGAGCCGCGACCGCAGCGCCACGTGAGTGCCACTGCCACACACCGCTGTCAAGGCACGCCCTCGCCCGCGAGGGCACGTGCCTTGCGCTTGAGCACCACGTGTCACTGCCACCCGTGCCCTCCTGCACCTTGCCACCTTGCTCTCTCATCTGGAGTAGCTGTGAGGGGAGGGGAGGGCCGTAAGTGAGAGTCTGCGAGAGGCATGCGGATGAAGGGAGGCGCTTTGAGCGTTGTGCAGGGAGGACGAGTTGCAGCTACGAAGTGGCATGCAGGGCACATGCACGTGCTCGACCTCCATCTCTGGCGGATGCCTCGCATTGCCACTTCTCCCCACTTCCTACTATCCCATCTCTCATTCCGTCCCTCCATCCCTCTGTGTTTTCCTTTCTCCCTTCCTGCGTCCCTCCCTCCGTCCCATGCACGCGCACACGTGCAGGGTGGAGGAGGTGCGGGTGGGGGAGGCGCGCTCACAGGAGCTGCAGGCCAAGGCAGCAGCCTTTGTGCTGCGCCGCACTGCTGCTGTCAATGCCGCCTACCTGCCACCCAAATCAGAGTCAGCACTCATTCCCTTCTCGTTCTTCTCTTGCTCAACGTGCCTTCCCTAGAGCTGCTCTGTTCTGCAGAACTCACTTTTCCACACAGTCTAGAGTCCCATACGTTCCCACTCTCTAAGCGTCTCATACGTCGTCTTTTCCACCCATGTCCTCTCCCCTCCTCCTTTCCACCTCCGTCCTCTCTCCTCTCTCTTCCACGCTCCCACGTGCCCACACATGCCCAGGTACATAGTGTTCTGTCGCCTGCACGCACAGCAGGCGCGCCAGTACTCTGACTTCCTGCGCTCCACCGTACGTGCCGTGCCTCGCCCCTTCCATTCACCACTGCTCGCCACACTCAACAGCTCTGTCTTCCAATTCGTGTGGCGCATGGCGTGTGGTGTGCATGCCGCATGGATGTAGCCCTGTCTCCCCCACCACCTATTATTACTCCTCTACTTGCCTTTTCCTTCAGGACACCACACCCTCTCGCCCCTTTTTTCTACCGCCACCCCTTGCAGCACATGTACTCTCCGTTTATGTCCCTTCTCTCCCAGGTGACTGCATCTCTTCCACCTTCCACACCCCCCGCTCTCCCCCCCCCTTGTGCATGGCAGCACGTGCGGTCGCTGCTGTACGCGGTGGCGCCCGGCACCACAGCCAGTGCGCTGACGGCCATCTGCCACCTCAGGAAGCTCTGCCTGCACCCCGCCCTCGCCACCCCCCCCACGCCCGCCTCCCCCCGCCCGCGCTCCCCCTCCCCTGCTGCCTCCGCCTCTGCTGCTGGGGGAGAGGAAGGGGGAGACGAGGAGGAATGGGCGGGGGACGAGGAGCAAGAGGAGGTGGCAGAGGAGGAGCAGGAGAATGCAGAGTGGGGAGCAGAGGGAGGGGAGGTGGGGGGATGTGAGGGAGGGATGGCAGGAGGGGTTGCAGCAAACGAGGCAGCGCAGAAGCGCAATATGTTCAGGTGAGAGGTCCCCTGATCAAGCCCATCCCAAACCAAGCACACCCCACGGATAGTAACTGCTGCGCTTGCTGCCAGGTTTACGGTAACTGCAAGCACGCTAATCCCGTGTTTCTCTCGCAATCCTCCCTCCTCACCCTCCCCCCCCCTCACCCCACCAGGCGCCCATCCATGCTCCCACAGGCGTCCCCATCCGCACAGGGCGCGCCCCTGTCGCGCACAGCAGCAGTGGCGGCGTTTGCAGCAGCACTCAAGGCGCTGGGCGCCGATGCATGGCGGCTGAGCGGCAAGCTGCACGTGCTGGCGCTGCTGCTGCAAGCCATACTGAAAGGGGGTGCAGGGGCGGGAGGGGGCGAGGGCAGTGTGCAGTCGAGCATCACGGATGGCAGCAGTGATGGCACGCGGGCGCACCACACTGCTGCTGCTGCTGCTGGCGCTGGCAGTGGGGATAAAGTGGTGATCGTGTCAAACTTCACACGGGCACTGGATGTGATCGAGGTGAGTGCGCTGCATGTGTGGAAAGCAGCTCACGTGCCCATCCATCTGTCATGCTTCTCCATGTCGCCACTCTCTCCCCTTCCCCCCAACGTGCCCATTCACCAGGGGTAACCAGCACGCCATGCAATGGGTGCACTGCGAGTTGGCGCACACAGTGATGTGCTCGTCTCTGTGTGCACGCCACGCCCTAGAGCAGCACCCTCAACCTCAACCATGGCTTCACGCCATGCTCAGCAAGCAGTGCCATGCCATGCAGGGGGAGCACCACGCAGTCACCCGCACCACCCACCCTGCTGCCATTTACACTCATCCTTCTACCCCTCCGCTCCATGCCCGCCGTCCCCAACCCCCCCCACCACACCAGGCCATGTGTGAGTCGCACGGGTGGAAGACCACTCGCCTGGACGGCAGCACGGAGGCATCGGCACGGCAGGCGCTGGTGTGTGCGTTCAACACGGGGCGTGACGGCAGCAGCTGCTTCCTGCTGTCATCCAAGGCGGGCGGGGCGGGGCTGAACCTGGTGGGCGCGAACCGCCTGGTGCTCTTCGACCCCGACTGGAACCCCGCCAACGACCACCAGGTGCGCTCAACCGCTCCCAGGTGCGCGCTCAAGGAGGGGGAGAAAAAGGGTGGGGAGGGTGGGCGAGAGGGAGGGGTGCCAGCGACTCCCAGGTGCGCACTCACAGCGGGGTGGGGTGGGGGAGGAAGGGTGGCGAGGGGGGAGGAAGGGTGGGGAGGAGGGGGTGAGCATTGGGTGGCTCACCCTGGCAGTGGCCCTGGTAGTTGTGGAAGGGATGTAGTGTTGGCGGGTGGTGTGAGGCAGTGGGTTTGAATGGCTGAGACTTCACCTTTGCATGTGAACGTGCATGAGCGAATGACAAGAGGTTGAGGGGTAATGGCGGGTGGTCTTCAAATCGCATGTGGCACACAGACACGCGTGCGCACACACTTGCATGCACATGGAAGCTGACATCTGGGCATGTTCCCTCTATCCTCCTCCCTCCCCCACCCCCCATGCGTGCAGGCCATGGCGCGCGTGTGGAGGGATGGACAAAGCAAGCCAGTGGTGATTTACCGCATGCTCGCCACGGGCAGGTGAGAAGCAGCGGCCGGTGAGAGGCAGGTGAGAGGCAGGTGAGAGGCAGGTGAGAGGCAGGTGAGAGGCAGGTGAGAGGCAGGTGAGAGGCAGGTGAGAGCGGCGCCCACAATACGAGGCCACAGCCAGCTCAGACCTGCCAGGGCAGTCGTAGGGCCATTGGTACAGGCAGGGGAGTTTATTTTGTGCAGGTCACAGTAGATTAGAGTGTGGATGGGCGTTATGGTTGAGAGACAAGCAGCAGCGAGGGCCGGTTGAGAGGAGACGAGTAGTGGTGAGAGCTAGCATGAAGGCGTGCGGATGTCTCTCATGGACTGGTGAGAGGCGACGTGGAGAGGAAGGAGGTGGAAGCGGGGTGGGGTATGGAGTGTGTGAGGCAGATTAGGCATATGAGGCATGTGCACAACCTAGAATAATGCGTTCCCTGCATGGGCCCAACACCACATGTACATCCCAGCGTTCAGTTCAGACCCAGGCGAAATGGTGCAGCACGTTCTCATTTGTTGCACGTGTGACATGATGGCAGCATCGAGGAGAAGATCTTCCAGCGCCAGCTCATGAAGGGCGAGGTGACCAGCGCTGTGGGCCATGGGAGCGCACCGCCGGGCAACAGCACTGGCGCCAGGGGGGGCGGTGGCAGTGGCAGCAACAAGGGTGGGGCGGGGCACTTCACCAAGGAAGAGCTGCGCGAGCTGTTCACCCTGGAGCAGGTGGGAGTGACGTATCCAACCCCATTGCTCTCGAGTTGCCTTTCTCAGGTGCATTCAGCACTTCACAGGCAACAGGGCGGACGTCACATGCGTGGCAGCACGTGAGAGCTCTTGTCTTGTGCCCCTCCCGTATGGCTGTGTTGTGTGGTGCAGGCCACTGCATGTGACACGCTGGACCTGCTACTTCGCTCCAACTCCCCTCTTTCCGCCAAATGGCTTTCTGCTGCCGCCACCAGCTCTGCTGCACCTGCTGCGAGCACCATTTCTGGCTCCTCTAGCGTCAGTTCTTTCGCTGCCGGGGCAGATACAGGCGGTGGGAGGGGCGGGTTGGCAGCAGGCATTGCAGATGGGCCGTTGAGGGAAGTGGTGGGCATGTGTGAGGGGGTGACGTTCGTGTACCATGACTCCACTGCCTCCCCTGCCAGCACACAGACTCCTGTACAAGGTGCTCTTGCTCGTGGTGATGGCACGGGGCTGGCAGGCCCGGAAGGAGCTCAGCACAACAGGCAAGCAGCAGGAGGAAGCAAAGAGGAAGAGGAATGTGAGGAGGAGGAGCATGCAGTGTTGAGAGGAGCTGGTGGTGCTGGTGTGGAGAGACGCAGGAGCACGGAGAGGCGAGCGGAAGAGCAGGGAAGTGATGGCAGAGGAAGTGGGGCGGCTGTGGAGTTGCTGACCTTCGATGCACTTGACGGTGTATCGGATGACGTCATGGAGTTGTTTGGCTCCGATGTCTTCTGACCAAGGGGCACCTTCTATTTTTCAAGGCTGGGAGTGTGAACCGCACGAGGCTGTAGACTGGTATGCTGTTATGTTGTGTGAAGTTCAAAAGACCATGATTGGCCGCTAAACTGTTGTGATATCATGGCAACTCTTTAATGGGAAAGCGGTTATCGTAAAAGAAGAGTTGAATTCAAGGTGAGTCCCACCATCACACATCCCAACGCTGAGCAACAAAAGAGCACCTCTCCTGTACCATAGGGTACCCCCCCCCCCCCCCCCCCCCACCCCCCCCCCCACCCCCCCCACCCACCCACCCCTACCCCCCCCCCCCCACCCACCCACCCACCCACCCCCACCCCCCCCCCTCCCCCCCCACCCACCCGCCCCCACCACCCCCCCCCCCTACACACACACACACACACACACACACACACACACCCTTCTACACCGCAGTAACATCCTTCACATGAGCAGAGGGAGGAGAACCGGCACCCACCAGGCCCGCAGCATCAGAGCCCTCTTCTGACTCGAGCCTCTTGTCCCATGCAAAACACAGCACTGTGGTAGCCACCCCTGTAACCAGGACGGAGGAGATTCCTACAGCGGCGAGAAGAGCAGGTGCTGCGAGGATCAAGAAGAAGAAACCGATAACCAATGGAGTCACTAGGCCAGGTCCCTGCAAGATAATAGACACGATGGGGAACTCAAGTGAGAACACGCCTTGAATGTGGATGCTGCGAATGTGCCTTTGTGAGGAGGGGAGTCAACGTGCTGTATGCAGGACGCATTGCAGTGAATCATGCAAGCACACAGCGGAAGCATGCAGCAACACAGCTTACTCACCACAAAAAACGCGACGATTAGAGCTATCATGCCCAGCCCGCCTATGAGGATGGGAGGGAGGGCGAAGCCAGCAGCATTGGATGCCACAATGGGCAATGCATAGCGCTGTAGGATGTCGAGAGAGAGGCGCAGTGAGCGGGTGAAGCCATGGCCGCTCATTGCACTGGTGGGGAGCACAAGGCAGTGGAGGAAGAAGAGGATGGCGAGATTTGTGCAGTGAAGCAGCGCCACAGGCAAGCTGCCTATGATGCCTTGGCCAAAGAGCGCCAGGACGAGGGCGGACAGGCACATCTCCGCAATGCCGAGAGCGCTTGCAGTGAAAGCAACGGCACAGCAGGTGCCAAGGGATGAGGTGCACGCGAGGCTGAGTGCCGAGCAGAACAGCTGCAGCTGGCCCCTCGCTGTCATGCGCTCTTCCCCTCCACCCGCCTGCCCGACCTCGCTGCTGCTGCTGCCGCTGTTGGTGCTGCTCGTGATGTACAGGCGTGCATAGACAGCGGCTGTGGAGTATGTGAGGATAGCTGAGAGCACTTGGCCGAGGAAGAGGCAGGAGAGTAGCAGCAGGGCCGGGAGGACGCGGTTGGAACTAGATTGAACGCAAAAAATCAAAGGCAGGGCCACGAACGAAGGTGCAATTATAATGGGGAACGGCATAAAGAGGATGATAGGGGCCCTGGCGATGGCTGCGTGGGCTGCGTGTGCGATGGCGGAGGCAGCGAGCGGCAGGTGCTGGCTGTAGCGTGCAACAAGGAGCACTGTGGCAGCACTGAGAAGTGCCGAAAACACAAACTCGACGATGTTGATGTAGCTTTCAACTGGCCGCAGCAAGAAAAGCCCATCGTCACTTTGCAAGAACCTCCCGTGCACATTTTTCCCGGCCGTGGAGTGGACGGCAGAGTGGACGGCGCGCACCCAGTGGGCGGCGTGGCGTGCAGCAACGGTTACTACAGGATGTGCAACGGCGGGCCGCGCAAGCTCGAGGAGGCCCCTGCCGAGGTCACTTGGTGCTGCAGTGCTGCTGCTGCCATTAGACGCACTGCTGCTGCTGTCAGCCTCTGCTGCCGCGTCCATACCTCCTTCCATACCTCCTTCCATACCCCCTTCCATGCCCCCTTCCATGCCCCCTTCCATGCCCCCTTCCATGCCCCCTTCCATGCCCCCTTCCATGCCCCCTTCCATGCCCCCTTCCATGCCCCCTTCCATGCCCCCTTCCATGCCCATACCCCCTTCCATGCCTTCTTCCGTACTTCCTTCCACTCCTTCCATGCCTAATTCCATCATTCCCCCCTCGTTCCCAAAGTCGGTGGCCGCGTCGTCGCCTGGGCCGTTGGAGCCAGTGTTTCCCCCGAAATACGACGCATACGCCTGCAGCGACGGGCCTCCTTCGTCCGCATGTTGCGATGCGAGGAGGTTCACGGCAGAGTTGACGCTTTGCAGAACGAAGATCACGGCAGCGAGTGTCATGAGAGTCTTCAAGGTGTGCGCGGAGATTTTGCAAAGATACGAGACGAGAAACAGGGTGAGGGGGAGGCTCAAGGCGAAGAGAAGGATAAAAGCGAACGAATAGACGAGGAGGAAAGCGAGGGCATCTCCGAGGCGGATGGAGGGGTCGAAGGCGAAGGCGGCTGCGCCCACGAGAACGACCAGTGCCACAGCCACCACCAACAGCCATCCCGCGTCGCGCACGGGGCGCTCTTGGAAATTGAAAATGGCGGGCGATGTGTCGAACTCGTTCCAGTCGCCGCCAGCTGCTGGATAGTCGACGCTTTGCTGAGAGACGACGTGCGCCGCGGATTTACGAGCCTCAGCGCGCTCCTCCTGCGGTTCGGGCTTCAAGTTTGACGAATTGCGAGGGAAATCATCATCGGATGCGGTGTGCGACCCGAGGTGCTCGGAAACGGTCACCTTGACGTCGCCGTCGTGCGGCCAGTGCTCCGCGTGCTCGGAAAGGTTCCCCGCGCGTTCAGCTGCCTGCGCGTGCTCGAAGAGATGGGTACAACTTGGAGGGGAGTACGATCCTTCCTTCAGGGAAGGCGTGCTCGTTAATGGCATATTCTCACTCATTTTCCTACTAGTTAACTACTACAGGCCAGTGGTGAGGTTCAATGTAGCTGTAAGGATGCAGCAACCATTTGCAGTGATTGTTGGGTGGAGTAGTGTTATAAACTGGTGGGATGGGCGGTTGCAGGGGTAGTTGAGGGGATGCAGCAAATAGCGGTGAAGTACGATATTGCACAATCTAGATCGGTTAGTTCTCACCGCTTTAAAACGCTACTCACCGACCCAAACAGTGTACCATGGTATGTGAACGAAAGAAGTCTGATCCGCACGGAGGGGAAGGGAAGGGAGGCAAAGTGAGCGGGAGGGTGCGAAGAAAGGGACGACCCGCGTGGCGAAGTAGGCGTGGCAAGATTCGAGCACAGATAGCCAGAACTGATTGGTGCGCGACAAGTGCGAAAGCGCAAAGCTGACGGGAAATAATAAATCTCGTCGTGGTACTGGCGGGGCGCGTCGCATGTCTGCGCTGATGGCGACGTGTTAAACTCGATGTCGTGCTGGAAATTAGAATAAGTGAGCAGCCATTGACCTCGTTCACACGAACACCTAACGAAATGTACGAAGTTCACTGACTTCAGTTGAACAGGAAAGAATGCATAAGGGCGTGTACACTAGAACGCAATTTCATATATTTCGATCCCTGTTTTCGAACTGTTATCGATGTCATAATGCGAACTCTCGATAATCGAACTTCTGATTCAGGGTCGACGTCGTAGCGGAAGCTCCATTTGGAGGAGCGACGCGTCAATGTTGCACACTTCAGTTTTCGAAATTGACGCGGCGCGCTTCATTTCGGTACAGTAGCGATTTCGTCGCCAACAATGTGATTGGCTGAAAGATTTGCAAAATCGTCGCCCAACCAAATGTCCGAAGGCGACAGCACATCGCGTGGTTCGCAGAGTCGCAAAAGTTGGAGCTCGAGCCGCGTCAGCGAGAATGTTCGATTCCCTGCATTCGTGGGATGTTCGAACTCCACTCAATTTGGCGGGAGGGAGCAATTCGAACGCGTCAGAGTACAAAAATGTAAACTGAGTCAGCCAGGTCTCGCGAAGTAATTTCGCGACATTAGCGAAGGCGGGTAACCAGTCAAGTTCGCACCAGTTCGAACTTTAGTTGACACGCCCTAAAAGCGCACAGATATACCGTGGTGCATCAGTGGTGAGGCTCGGGTACAAGCTCAGGCTCGGATGTGGTGCTCGGGTACCAGCTCAGGTTCGGGTGTGGTGCTCAAACGAGAGGTAGTGGTTTGGGGTTGTCAAAACAGCCCAATTGGTCTGTCAAGTTTGACAAACTCGCGGAAGGAAAAAGTTGCGTTTCCTGCTGTTTTGCCTCACACATGTCAGGGCTGCCCCCACGCTTGCAGGGAAGGGACAAAACGTTTTTGAGGAGGGGGTGTTCATTTGTGCGGGGAAAAGCTCGTTGGATGATTCTTGGCGGACACCTTATGCTGCCCCACATCAGCTGGTGCTGACCCGCATCAGCTGGTGCACGCTCTCCACGGATGCACCATGTGCGCATCAATGGTGCGTCGGTTTGCCAGGAGAGGAGGTTTCTGGGAACGCACATTCGGTTCCCGAACTTGGGGCCAAAAAGGGTGTTCGGCTGGCATCATGCACCAGTTCGCTTCGGTGCTCATGCGCCTATCCCAGACCCGAGTCAGCTGATCCCAGATCCGAGTCATCACTTGTCCGCTTATCTCATAAGCTTCGAGGGAGCACACTTTACTGTTGCCAGTACCCGAGCCTGTGCCTGATGAGCCAGTCGAACAGGGCCTAAATACAGTCATGTATGATTAGTGATAAGGGCCTCCACCATACGAAAAAAATTTACATTGCTGATAAAGTTTCACCGCGTCGTCAGCAGGGTCCCCGTCTGATGCATCAAAACTTTTAATTTTCCCATTTCTGGTGCATCAGATATTTTCTGAAACCTTGTCTAACCAATCAAACTAAAAAGTCTCGTTTTTTGTTAGCTGTCAAAGTCAAACTATAGATATGTGTGTGTGTGTATGTGTGTGTGTATGTATGTGTATGTGTGTGTGTGTGTATGTATGTATGTATGTGTGTGTGTATGTGCGTACGTGCGTGCGTGCGTGTGCGTGCGTGTGCGTGTGTGTGTGCGTGTGCGTGCGTGTGTGTGTGTGTGCGTGTGTGTGTGTGTGTATGTGTGCATGCGTGCGTGCGTACGTCTGTGCGTGTGTGTATGTATCCGTGTGTGTGTCTGTGTGTGTCTGTGTGTGTATGTGTGTGTGTATGTGTATGTGTGTGTGTGCGCGCGTGCGTGCGTGCGTGCGTGCTTGCGTGCGTGTGTGTGTGTGTATGTGTGTGTGTGTGTATGTGCGTGTGTATGTGTGTGTGTATTATGCTAGGCTGTAGTGAGGTATGTTGTAGGGAGTACAACATTGTTAGGGTTAGCTATTTGTACCTTACCCTTTCTAGTCCAATTCATTCTGCTGTTCTAACTATGAGATTGTATCACGAGTAGGTAACGATCCGAGCCTAACCTAGCCCGCCCAGCCCCGTTCCCTAGCATAGCCTGACCCGTCCCGTTCCTTATAAGGCTCCACCCTGCCCCGTTCCGTTCCTTAGCAGGCCGCCCTCCCCGTCCAGGAGTAGCCAGCTGAGCATAGTGCGCTGCCCCGTCCTGCCCCGCTGCGCAAACTCCTGCCCCCGCGCGCACAGCTGCACGCGCGCAGCTGGACGAGCACCAACAGCCGCGCACCCGCCTGCTGCCCCACGCGCTGTGGAGATAGTAGGTATAATCAGGAGCCATAGCTAGGTAAGCCCTAGCTAGGCAAGAGAAAGTTAGGCAAAAGAGGGGGTTTCACTAGCAGCAATGGAGATACATATAGCAAACCTTAGCTGGGTTGTACCCGCTATAGAGCACCCCACTACAGGCTAGATAATAACATTCTGACACACCCCCATAGCCAAAGTGGGGTGTAATCAGCACAATGAGCAAGCATGCATAGAGCAGGAGTTCACAATAGTAAGCAAAGCTAGAGTTAATCACAGCGGGCAAGTGAGGAGGAGAAGGAACTGTGGAGGGAGAGAAGATGGGAGGCAACGACTGAAGCTGCAGAGGCACGGGCACAGGAGCGGCTGACTCAGTGGCTACCGAAGCAAGGGCGACGGACTACTGGAGTGACTGACTCCGCGGCTATAGACGAGCGGCAGGAGCAACGGACCCACTGGCGATTGGTGCAACAGGCTCACTGGCTACCGAAGCAAGGGCGACGGACTACAGGCGCTGCAGGCGACATGACAGCTACCTTCACACAACCTCCTCCAACTGCCCCACACCCTTGACACACACCCCCTGCTCAAACCCTAGCTCCACTCCCACGACACCCCCCTTAAACCCTAAACCCCAGACTCCCACACATCCACCCCCCTCAGCGACAGCTGCAGCAGTGGGAGACGAAGGAGGAGGAGGAGTAGGAGACGGCGCACACAACCGACACCCCCACAACCGCCACCCCCACACCCCTCACCCCCAAACCCTAAAACGGGTGGGACGGGGCAGGAGCGCGGGGGACGGGGAGGGGGGACGGCGCGCGACCCCCAGGGCGCCAAAACGGACGGGCGGGGCGGGGGGGGTGGCGCGCGCGGCTCCCCAGGGCGCCGCGACGGACGGGCGGCGGTCGCGCGCGCTCCCCAGGGCGCCGCGACGAGCCGGGCGGGGGGCCGCGCGCGCTCCCCAGGGCGCCGCGACGAGCCGGGCGGGGGGCCGCGCGCGCTCCCCAGGGCGCCGCGACGAGCCGGGCGGGGGGCCGCGCGCGCTCCCCAGGGCGCCGCGACGAGCCGGGCGGGGGGCCGCGCGCGCTCCCCAGGGCGCCGCGACGAGCCGGGCGGGGGGCCGCGCGCGCTCCCCAGGGCGCCGCGACGAGCCGGGCGGGGGGCCGCGCGCGCTCCCCAGGGCGCCGCGACGAGCCGGGCGGGGGGCCGCGCGCGCTCCCCAGGGCGCCGCGACGAGCCGGGCGGGGGGCCGCGCGCGCTCCCCAGGGCGCCGCGACGAGCCGGGCGGGGGGCCGCGCGCGCTCCCCAGGGCGCCGCGACGAGCCGGGCGGGGGGCCGCGCGCGCTCCCCAGGGCGCCGCGACGAGCCGGGCGGGGGGCCGCGCGCGCTCCCCAGGGCGCCGCGACGAGCCGGGCGGGGGGCCGCGCGCGCTCCCCAGGGCGCCGCGACGAGCCGGGCGGGGGGCCGCGCGCGCTCCCCAGGGCGCCGCGACGAGCCGGGCGGGGGGCCGCGCGCGCTCCCCAGGGCGCCGCGACGAGCCGGGCGGGGGGCCGCGCGCGCTCCCCAGGGCGCCGCGACGAGCCGGGCGGGGGGCCGCGCGCGCTCCCCAGGGCGCCGCGACGAGCAGGGCGGGGGGCCGCGCGCGCTCCCCAGGGCGCCGCGACGAGCAGGGCGGGGGCCGCGCGCGCGGGTCCCCACGGCATGATGTCAGAGGTCCACTGGTGATCCCCGATTGATCCTAGGGAAGGGTTACAGGCATGTTGGCCTGGGGGGTTATGGGCGCATTGACCCGCTACTTAACAAGCCCTTTTATCCCAGTGGTTAGTGGCTGGGATTCTGACATGGTATCAGAGCGAAGGTCTCGTGTTCGAATCCCGGTGTATGCACTTCGGGCATCCCAGTGCGGGGGGGTGTCAGAGGTCCGCTGGTGATCCCCGATTGATCCTAGGGAAGGGTTACAGGCACGTTGGCCTGGGGGGTTATGGGCGCACTCACCCGCTACTTAAACAAGCCCTTTTATCCCAGTGGTCTAGTGGCTGGGATTCTGACACATGAAACCGTCGCGCGCCTCGGGGCGCACGGCAGGAAGAAGGCGTCGCACGCCACGGGGCGTGCAACAGACAGAGTAGCAGTGGAAGCAGTTAGGTGGTGGGCCCACCCACAGGATCGACCCAAGGGGGTCGACCTGCTCTGAAACCATGTGGAGATAGTAGGTATAATCAGGAGCCATAGCTAGGTAAGCCCTAGCTAGGCAAGAGAAAGTTAGGC